TTTTATCACCCCGTAGAATGTTGTTTACGAGTCCTTCAAAACATTTCGTACAAATCTCGCGTGGTTTAGCAACAGGGACGTGACAGGGGGGGGTAGAGACTTGAAAAATGAAAGGAAAGCCCACACAGTATGGTAAAACCAACAATCAACATTTAATTTGTATGACTTTTTCATATTGATAAATAATAATATGTATATATTTGTCGCTACAAGAAATAAAACAAACATTTGTATGATTGTATTTAGCTTTTAGTCTATTTCACGCAGCCTCCTTCTATCTTCGTGAAATAATTCACCCCCTCCTGTCACGTCCCTGTTACTTTGTCACGCGATATTTGTACGGAATGTTTTGAAAGACTCGTGAGCAAAATTTTACATGGTGATAAAATGGCGTATTTCTTATATTTTGTTTAGATTTTTTAGTTTCCTCCTGTTATAAAGGGTTAAATTTATTATTAGTGGAATGGAAATGGCTTGGATGGAAGAGTAATAAGGCTGAATTGTTAACAAGCGACATGGGATGACAAAATGGCGCCGAATTTGGACAAAGTTGTGGATTTACCTTGTTGATGGTTAAACAGGTATGATCTACTTGAAACCAAGTTGAAACTTGTTTAAAATGTTCTTGATACCATTATGTCTGAGATGATCTACATTTTTTGTAGGATGTCGACGAGATCGCCGATAAACAGCGGAGTAAAGTGGAGAACTTGGCCAAATACGTCCATTTGCAGGAGGTAGGCACATTTCGAATTATTATTTCGGTCAGAAAATATTAACTATTTTACACCAAACCAGTGATAATATATTTAAATAAGTACCATTTATGTTTCTATCAAAAGGATTTAGGGAAAAAGGTAATATAAGTCCACTGCTGTTTATCTGAATTTGCAAGCCACAAATTGACGTTTAACTATGATTATTGGATGGCCATTTTCTTGTGAAATATTAGTGCTAGGCATTTCACACTTACCAATGACCACCCCCAAAAGTACCATCTCTGAATCATATAAGCACCTCAGAATAGCCAAAGCTTTTATGGTTTGGTAGATAGCAGTATGGCGAAGGCGTCGTTTTTGGGTGTGGTCAGTTTCGGACGTTTCGCCCCGGATTGGGGTTCGGGCAGCATTACCATGTTGACCGTCATGGTCAACTTACCCTAAAACAGTTGAGATTATCTGTCCTAAATGAAATGCATACAAACTCATATACAGGTCCTAGACTAAATAGGAAAATTTCAAAAGGTATACTTTTTTCGGGAAATCCTGTATATGTCTAGTTCTTATTCGGGCATTCGCCAAGTGAATTTATCTCCAAAGGAGTCATACAACTTTTTTTAAAGTTAAAAAATTCGATGAATTCTGACGAGTTTGCTATTGAATTGGATTAGAGGAGCAAATAAAATTCGAACTATAGTGAAAATCATAGGAAATCTATTTCTTTAAAGCAAAATCAAAATGGCTTGTGGGACGTAGCAACGTAGCAACCGTAACTATACGCATTGCCGGAAGCATGAATTACATACAGTAAGAAAACATGCGATCCGGAAAATCACGCTCATGCCGCACGATGAATATTCTAATGTTTTCAGCGGGCTGATGTCACCAAATGCAAAATAATTTCAGGTTTAGCAATAACAAAGCTGAGTATTTTAGTCAAATATGTAAGAAGACAACCATGCCACTCTACGATGAATTATGTGTCTATATTAAGTACTGTTGGTCACTTTCAGGAAACATATCAAACATTAGACCATGCACGGGCTTTACGACCAATTCAGTTTGACAGCAATAGTATTCTATCTAAATAGCAGTTAAAATCAAGTGTACAGCACCCGAACTGTTCAATATCAGTTGCTTCTAAATCCATAAAACATTTACATATTATGCAAATACTGTATCCGGTGCCGCACACTTTATTTTAACTACTACAATAGATAGAATACCATTGTTGTCAAATTGAATTGGTCCTAAAGCCCGTGGTTTGACAGTAAAATACGCGTCACAAATTTCAGTTATATCAATAGTAGTTTTTCGTAATGCCAATTAATTTCTTGATTACGAAAGTAAGAAACTTAAAACAAAGACAAACAACACTGACCTCTATAGAAATTGGAACGCGACTATGAAATTAGTAAGGCCTGTTTTAAACGTTGCATTTTGCATGTGTCGAATTCAGTGACATGCAATGGCTTGAATTATGTACATGTAACTATTAAATTTAGATAAATATTAAATTATAGATAACATTTAAAGATGCGGTAAAGTCCGTTCTGCGCATATATTCTGCGCATCAAAACATTCCATCAGTGGGGGAGCAACCTTTGGAATGTTGTTAATATTTCGCCCCTTCCGAACTTTCTTGAATTGAATCTCTAGTCTGTATTCATTTACAAGCATAACGAACCAGAAAAGTGTTAAAATTCAGTATAATATATATATCTAATCGTATTTTACAACTGTAGCACTGAGTTCAAAATGTAAACAAAGCGTTTGTTTACATTACGGACTTTACATCACCTTTAAAAATTATAGTTTTTAATAAATTTCCTTTTGTACAGTCTTTACTTGAACTAAGAAGACACAAATGGCCCTTGTTTAAAAGAGAAAAGAACAGGCTTTAAAGTGAGACCTCATATTTCTAAAATTGTTAAGAACAGAAGGTGTATATTCTGTCTTTTATATTGTAATCAGGAATTTTACATCTTTTTTATAGACCTTGCAAAGAAATTGAAAATACTTCCAGTGACATGCACAGCTTTAAGAAAAATCGATAGAAGTCTTCCAAGTGCGGTATATAAGATCAAACCAATTAATGCAGATGCACCTTTTAGAGTATACTGTGATATGATCTCCAAGAATGGAATCGGTGTGACTGACATTGGGCACGACAGCGAATCAAGAACATTTGTAAAAGATTATTCGGATGCAAACAGGAAGATAACGTATATATTATCCATGAAACAAATTGTTGCAGTTATCAAGATGTCTGTCCATTGTGAACAGTTCATAAAATATGAATGCCATCATAGCGTGTTCAATATTGGTAGTCGTGCATGGTGGAAGTCTCGACAAGGTTCAAAGATGAATTACTGGGGTGGTGCGGCAGTCAACAGTGGAAAATGTGCATGTGGAATGACCAACAGCTGTGATGGTGGAGGAAAATGTAATTGTAACAAGAATGACGCAAAGTGGCGAGAAGACGGTGGCTTGTTAACAGATAAAAACACGTTGCCTGTAATTGAGCTACAATTTCACGATTTAGGAGGCAGCAGTGAATTCGGTTACTATACCCTTGGGAAATTGCGGTGTTGGGGATAATTCTTCCAAGACAACACTAATTATTTTGCTTTCGTTATAGCTAGTATAGTAAGCAGTAAGTAGTATTTTTGAGAAAAAATATCGATGGCATTTGATTTGCGCTTTAGTATATAAACTGATTTTTCTACTTGATATAATAAGCTTAAATTTCTAGAGGGTAAAAAACGTAAAATGTGCGGATATCTATCATGACCTATACCAACTATTGACCACACATAAGGTGCAAAAAATATATATTTTTGCTTTGCATTTTGTATTTTATATTTGTGGTTTGTTAAATTTTTGTATCATATTCTGACAAATAATTATGCAGCATTGAGGACATATTTCTCAACGATTGTATAATTATACACAGCCATTAAAAAAATTCTGAAACAACGGTATATAATCGCGCATATAAATAAATTAGTAGAATGATATACAGTAGAATGTCACATAGAATAGTAGCTACTGTCGAGGATAAGGAACACTCTAAAAATAAGTGTATATATCTAATATCTTTCTTGTTGCCAAATTAAGGCTTAATTTGCTTATATCATATACCAGGATAGCAAAAAATATAATACTGTAACTAGATCAGGCTGGCATACGGCTTTCTACATATGAACTGCATTTGCAGTGTATATTTATATACACGCGGCCGTGGCCCGAACACCCAAGTTAACAAATTTTATAAACACCGGCATGTAGGCTAATAAATTTTTATGCGGAGGATTGTAGCATATAGAAGTTTATTTATCGCATTTGCTTTCCGGATACGTAATATTTTTTGGATTATGCTTAATTTCGTGGCCATTTTTTATCTCTCTCAACATGCTTCCTGTCCTTGTTTAATGCATGAATTTTATACAATGATTAATTGTTGCTGCTTTTGATTGATCTCATAAATAAATTACGAAACTTTGACAACGCGTTCTTGGCACTGCTCTGAGTAGTGATAGATTTATCTCTAAGTTCAGAAAAGATAATACTCCCTTTTTTCAGTACAGAGCGACGTTGCGCGCGAGCTTTTCAAACGAGGCTAAACATGCACGGAATGATCGTGTTAAAAGGGCACGCTCCCAATCTGGAGCACATTCCTCGCTCGGAGTCTTGGTATTTTTAAACAATAACGCGATGGACAAAGCCGATCAAAAACACAGCTGAAAACAATATGGCGGCGTTCAGACTGCATTTTTGGATCGACTCGGATCGATCTTCAACAAAGCGACTTTAGTCTGAACGGTAAAGAAAAAACTGAGATCGATCTGAGATCGATCTGGTGCAGTCCACTTCCAGAGGTGGTCTCGTATCGATCTGAGTGAAATCGATCCTGTTCTTTTTCTGAATGCGAACGTAAAGCGTGCTGATCGAAGATCGATCCAAACTCGTTCTCAGGCCATTTTTTGTCTTGGCAAAAAATTGGGCGATGAAATTCGCAGGCTAGAATGCTAGTTTTCGCGCCAGTTCTACTTTTTTACAATTTTTCTACTTGTAATTTCTTTGTGGAAGTCTTTTATTATCAGTTTACGTTGGCATATAATATAAAGAAATGGCTACTAAAAAGGGAGAAATTTGGTCGGAAGCCGGAGTGTCTCGCGCTTCTCTCTGCATGGGGCGACAAGCAAGGAAATACAAAAAAGCTTCGACCTCGTGGAACTCACAAAAACTCCGACGTATACAAAACGATGAGTAGTATGATAAAAAAGTCTGGAGGCTTTGATCGCGATTGGATTCAGTATAGAACGAAAGTGAAGCATTTAAATCCGAATACAAGAAATACAAGAACTCTTTAGCCAAACTTTTTCGAGAAAATTGATTATTTTCTGGACATGGACAATATGCAAAACCTGAAGCTCTTGGCGCGAAAAACAGCATCGACACAAGTATAGCACAACTATTTATAGAAGACAAAGACCTGGTCGATAACAGCGATTTTGGCAGGTGTATAGTATCAGTTTTAATACTATATTGTTACTGTATGCAGTACCTTTCACACGATTGTGCAATATAGGCTATGGTTTATATACGGTATATTACTGATAGGAAAACTAATTCCGTTAATATAGTACGTCGTTTGATCACTTTTCAGATACTACATGCCAGCTGGTTGAAAAGTATGGAGGTGGCACGAGTGTTGAGAAATAATGTCCTCAATGCAATGAAAAACTTACATTTTACAGAATTTACTGTGTTTTAAAATTACATTTATACTAACAAATTCACCCTCAAATGTTTGCCTCTCTTTTAGATATTTTAATGATACCAGAATTTATATTACTACGCTGCTTATTTGTCAGTTAAAACTGAGTGTTAAATGTTGATTAAAATACAATATTTGCTTTAATTTGCTATTCTTATTGTTGTGTACACAGGTAATAAAAACAAAATTAATTGATATTAGAGAATTTTAGCTTCACGTTTACGGCAAACGTCAAACCGCTAACGAAGTTTTTGATTTTACAAGTCTATTAGGGGCGGACCATTAGAAATCCCGGGAGGGGGGGTATAAAATTTTTGCGGCACGAATTTTTTTTTCAGTCTCATGTCTCTGCAGGAATTTTTTTTAATGCAGTTAACCTGTGCACGAATTTTTTTTCAAGACTACTTGTACTTCACTGTTTGCTTGCACGAATTTTTTTTCTCTGACGTAATGGCTGCACGAATTTTTTTTCCAGGCATTTTTCTTTGCACGAATTTTTTTTTGGGAATTTTCACCCCCCCCTCCCGGGATTTCTAATGGTCCTCCCCTTATAACAGCTTTTACACCAGTTTTGAAGTATAAACAATTATTAAACTTGTGCTCTGTAGCAATGATTTAAAAGAAAGCAAATTAACCACTAGTCACGTATTCGCGAAAGCAGTAAATTATGATTTGGCGTTTGAAGTTTACGTTTGGCGTATAAATTTCATGCTTTAACGACTATACAAGCCCTCATAGCAGTTCAAGCATGAAATTTATACGCCAAACGTAAATTTCAAACGCCAAATCTTAATTTACTGCTTTCGCGAATACGTGACTAGTGGTTAATTTGCTTTCTTTTAAATCATTGCTAAAGAGCACAAGTTTAATAATTGTTTATATTTCAAAATTGGTGTAAAAGCTGTTATAAATAGAGTTGTAAAATCAAAAACTTCGTTAGCGGTTTGACGTTTGCCGTAAACGTCAAGCTAAAACTCTCTAATAGAGACCTTAAGATTGACGTTTACGGCAAACGTCAAACCGCTAGCGCAGTTTTTGATTTTACAACTCTATTATTATAGCTTTTACACCAGTTTTGAAATATGTTAGACTTATTAAACTTGTGCTCTTTAGCAATGATTTAAGAAAGCAAATTAACCACAAATCATGCCATTCACCAAAGCAGTAAATTAAGATTTGGCGTTTGAAGTTGACGTTTGGCGTATAAATTTCATGCTTTAACGACTACAAGCCCTCGTAGCAGTTCAAGCATGAAATTTATACGCCAAACGCCAACTTCAAACGCCAAATCTTAGTTTACTGCTTTGGTGAATGGCATGACTAGTGGTTAATTTGCTTTCTTAAATCATTGCTAAAGAGCACAAGTTTAATAAGTTTAACATATTTCAAAACTGGTGTAAAAGCTATTATAATAGAGTTGTAAAATCATAAACCTCGCTAGCGGTTTGACGTTTGCCGTAAACGTCAATCTTAAGGTCTCTATTATTTCAGTTACGCGCGCAGAGAAACCAATTTGAGATATTTTATGACATTTTGTCACCTTTGAGTTTAGGACTCTATATGCATCTCATCCCTTCTAAAGTGCAAAAATGGCATTTCAGAGACTGCAGTTCAACATTTTTCCGGGGGGCATGCCCCTGGAACCCCCTAGAATTTCACCCGCCTTCGGCGGGCGCTAAGTGTGCCCCCCCCCCTTTTAAAGCCGCTCCGACGCCCCTGTGTGTACAGTTACAGTATGGTAATCCGTCATCGCATACATGGAACAAGTTTTTCATACTACTTGTTACACTTAAATTACGGGAACCACTGAGTATTTTGATAAAATACAAAACAATAGATACTCCGAAAATTGAAAGCATTTTGAAAAATTTATTTCGACGTTTCGACTAAACTATAGTCATCATCAGGAAATGAATGATGATTCACTCATTTCCTGATGATGACTATAGTTTAGTCGAAACGTCGAAATAAATTTTTCAAAATGCTTTCAATTTTCGGAGTATCTAGTGTTTTGTACTTGTTACACAATTCTGAAGAGAGGACTATAGATGCATGCTGTGGACAACATACTTGCCAATGGCATTGCAATCAAAATTGAACATTGTAGTACCACCTTTAGTTACAAATATTAGTTTGCTTGAACAAATGCAGGTAAAGCCAGTCTAAACTCTTCGGCATTTCCCTCAATGTCAACATCCAGCATATCGTAAAAATCGTTATCATTAAAACTCTCAAAAATGTCATCCTTTTGTAGCACATCTTCTCTCATTTTACAGTAGAGATTATGTGAGACGCAGCATGTTGCAACTTTGGACGGCAAGTATTACAAGCATGTCTCGCTTTTCTTCATGTGGCGGCATCTAAAACTGCTCTTCATTTGGCCAAATGCACATTCTACCACCATCCGGACTCGACTCAGTTGGTAAATGAATTTAACTTATAACTGACTACGATTTAAATTTCCAATTTTCTTTAAAACGCGTCATCAACCAAGGCAGCAATGGATAGGCAGAATCGGCCACTAACATTATTGGCACATCACACTCATCAATATTTTCAGCCACCTTAAAAAATAGCATTAATTTATAATTATCCTCAAATAAATCATAACGTATCAGTATTTTTTTTCGGTATCCTGTGACGAGAAATAACCAAATCTACATTCTTAGCAATTCCTTTAGTTCAGCTTAAGCCTATTCCTAACAATGGCATTCTAAAATACTAGATAGTACGAAAGTTAGCAGACAATGGAAACTCACATCAGGAAAAAGCATTTGAGCTTGGCCTTTCGCATATAACCCAGAATTGGCCAGTATCCTCGCATCATGTACCTTTCCAGATCACTTTATATAAATGTCAGTAAATTTTCAAAAGAAATATAGAAATGAACTGAGCATTAACAGGTTAATTACTAATTTCAATTTGAGTGATTGTCAGGAAAAAAGATCTGGATCTTCGGATCTTTGAAACTCACAAATAGGGCCATGGTGCTCTTCTGTAAAACTCTGTCTGTCTGTCTGCATTTTGTCAAATACTCAAACACATTGTACACTATCGCATAGGAAACCCAATATAATCCGTAGGTGATTGATAAAGTCACCTAATTATGAAGTCACCTAATTAATATCCTAATTATATAAAAAATACCTGTACTGGTGATCAACCACGGCTTGTAACACAATGGAATAAAATCCTTCTCTGTTGTAATAATCTGCAGAATATTCTGCATGATGGTGCAACAATCGGAATATGTGTGCCATCTAGTGCTGCACATTGGGGAGAATCCCATGTAGAGAGGAAACCAGCTACTGTTTCATGCAACTTTTCACCTGTTGGCCATTTGACTATTCGTGGCAACAGAACATCTACAACTGCTCGACAAACGTCGCTGATTATTTCACACGCCGTGCTTTTGCCAACGCCGAAACGCCATTCTATAGAGGGGCAATCTTCTCCGGTGTATAAATGCCAAAGGCATATTGCCATTCTCTTTTCAACGGTTATGGCCTTTCTGACTTTCGTATCGCGGTGGTGAAGACGGTGGAATAGCTCTTTGCATAGGAAATCAAAGGTATAGCCTTAGACAACCGAAAATTATCGAGCCAAAGTTTATCATTCGTCCACGACTTCACCGATCTTTCCCAAAACAAACCGAGATCCTTGCGGGGTTGAACCCAAAACCTTCGCTTAATTTCAGGCTTTCTAGCAAATAGACTCATGCAAAAAACAGTGAAATCCCTTTGTTTCCGTCTCTTCATCATCATCAGATGAATTATATTCTGCATGTTTCTTGTTGATGCGTTTTCATTTTTCTTTGAATCTTGTCGAGCGCAACAACGAGAGCACAAGCGCCTTTCACCTGTGAGATCGTGGGTTCGATTCTCGCTATGGACTCATGTGAAGAGTCAGTCAACACTCTGCCGAAAGTCGTAGGTTTTCTCTGGATGCTCCGGTTTCCTCCATCCGGGCTATATATACATATAGCTGCCTATAGGAGCAAAATATTTCTGTTACGATTCAAAGTCGAAGTACTTTCACAAAACTATTTGAGTAAAACCATGCAGATAAACTTAAAACGACAGATAAAGGTTTGCTTTAAGATAGCTCTCCCCGTGCACGCAGGCTAAACTGACCAAACAAACCAAAATACTTACGGGCTTTCTGAAATGGAGGAGTGAAATCCTGGGGAAATTGACCATTCGAAATGTAACTATTAAAGCGATAGCTTCATTTTTAATTATCACGCCTGCCTGAGTAGTTCCCGATCTACGCAGGTTTCTCATTTAAGTAAATTAACTATAGTAATATAGTCGACACTAAATCTGCCCCCATTTGATGATGTTTTTACCACAACCAAAACAGAAAATTTGTGATTATTAAAGAACCGATAAAAGTACACATGTAATGATTTATGATGTACAGGGTGTCTAAAAAAAAACGCTATGGAAATTCAACAGGCTGTTGCGCATCATAAACGTGACTAAACAATTCAATTTTTAGATACGACAAAAGATCAGTTATTTAGCTTTTCAATGATACTCTTTTCAAATCGTAACGATGAGAAATGGCCACATACTCGTCAAATAAAAATAGCCGGAATCACATTCTTCCACCGTTGAGAATTGCATGGAAAACAAAACATAGCCAATTCCCAAGAGGGAATTAAAGTTGAATGTTAAATTTTCTAAAATAAGCTCAACTCGTCAATCTTCATCTTAGTGAGACAATAAGAACATGACATGGTTCAATTAACCACTGAACAGAGAAATTCGTAATCAAAAACGTTTTACGAAACAAATACCTTGATTGATTAACTTTGCATAATTAATTATTTTCAATTCCCAACGGTGGAAGAATGTGATTTCGACCGACAATTTTTATTTGACGAATATATGTGGTCATTTCTCATCGTTACGGTTTAAGAAAGGTATCATAGAAAAGCTAAATAACAGCTCTTTCGTCCTATGCAAAAATTGAATTGTTTAGCTAAGTTTGTGATGCACAACAGCCTGTTGAATTTCCATAGCGTTTTTTTAGATACCCTGTAATCAGAGTATATTACTATAGCACAGGTATAATAAACACGTATTTTATTAATACAAACCGTGATGAACGCTTTTATATCAGTCTGAACCTATAGCTATGTGCCTTAATGAATCTCTGCAATCTGTGTCTTCTTCCAACCTTCGTAGTTTTTAAACCTCGTTTTAAGCCAACTGGGTGAACTGACAAACACCAGAAACGAAATTTTATATGTTCGCTATTCGCACACTTCCCTGCTGACAGAAGTCTCTATTTGTGCAGGAAAGCGAAGGAGAAGAGACCTCATGCCTAGATTTGATACGTTTTCTGGCAAACAAATGTATCTCGGCCCGATAAAACAGAAAAGATTGCTTTCCTTTGTTCTTCTGTCACTGCTTTCACACTTTCATCTTTAAAAATATCAATCATAACTTAGAGCACTTTCAAACAACATGAAAAACCTCGAAATGACCACGCTGGGCAAGCCGCCATTTTCACACTACGGGCTCAATGTTATTCATTAGCGCTCTGAACATGAGTACTATTTGTTTCCCTAAACCGGTTTCAGCGGAACTTGTTTTACCAACTAGTTTGACTCGTCCACGATCATGGACTGAGGAAGTTTCAGATCTAAGCAGAGGTCTCTTTTCTTTCGCTTTCACAAATAGAGACCTCTGTCAGCAGGGAATTCGTACATGTATCAGTGTTTGCATATTGTATATTGCAAAATTCCTTTGAAATTCTGTTAATTACCCAAAGATCCTTTGCGGTCTTGCAATAAGTAGCGAAGCTACCTCTGCGGGGGCAATAAGTAGCGAAGTTTGTAGGTATAAAGGAGCGTGTGAATGGAACAAGTCAGATATTATTAGCATTGATGAAGATCCGGGCTTAATTACGGATCGAAAGTTTTGCAGTAATAAATTTACGAGATCTTCCTACAAACAAAAAGTATTTATTTTATCGCCATGCAATCCTACAAAGAACTAACCTGAGTATCAGGCCGTACTTTTTAGGGCACAGGCACGCCTGATCGTGGGCGAAGGGGAGAAAAGTACGGCCTGACACAAAAGTGGCATTTTGCCTGGTTGTTCAGTCCAGAATCTGGACTGAGCGCTGATTGGCCGATTAGACAAACGATTTTTAAATCTGTCATTTGATTGGCTGGTGCTAATTAGATTATACTATTGTTGTTGATATATTTTATAACGATCACAATTCACAACTACAATTATAGCCGGCCCACTAAACGGCTGAATTTAAATTAAAACTGCAGTAAAATTAGAAAATAATCGCAAATTAGCGAAATATATTGCAAAATGTAGCTTATATTAAATCGCCATCAGATTACACTATCGACTGACGTATAGTTATAAAGTATACTTTATAATTATACGTCAGTTTGTTGATAAATACGGCAAGCGCCATGTAAAGCTCATTGTAGTCACTGAAACCTCTGCGGAGGAGAGAGCAATCGGGTGGCGATTTAATATAAGCTACATTTGCAATATATTTCGCTAATTTGTGATTATTTTTGTTAATTTTATAAGTTCATTGCAGTTTTAATTCAAATTCAGCCGTTTAGTGGGCTGCCTATGCTATAATTAGATTGTTGTTGTCGTTGTGTGAAATTTAAATTTCTCCTGCGACATTTTGATTGGATACTAAATATAAACTTTGCTGTGGGCGGAAAGCGATCAGGTTAAGTTTTGTGTCAGGCTCTATTTGTAAAATAGAGCCTGATACTCAGGTTAACAAAGAACTTAAGTAGCGAAGTCATGAAAATAGACAATTTCTCTTCTTAAGTTTCTAAAACATATTGATTTCCCACCCCTTCTTTCCCGCATGCATGCCTATATATATATATGAAATAATATGGATATACTATGGATTTAGCCGGTGCAATTGCAAATTTCATAGTATGGATTTCACATTTTTTCCCGGTGTATGTGTGTGTGTGTACTTTCTCTTACAATTTGGTCGTAGTACTCCGTGACGAGAGCGGCAATGAATTTCCTGTGTTTGCAGCAACTTCTGAGTTCCTCCATCTTGGACATCCAGAAAAGTAAAACCCTTTACCTTTACATTTCGCAAACGGCACCAGAATTGTACGCCTATAGTCAGGCAAACGGAGTGCGTAAAGAATTGGATTGGCCATGTAATTTATTGCAGCAATGGGTTGATAGTAATTAGAAAATTTCCAAACCCAGTGATCCCCACCAATAAGACCCAATTTCCAAACAAACTCCAACTGTTTTGAAACAAAGTAAGGAAGAGCAGTCACCATAAGTATCACGTTAAGTATGATGATTGTTTTTGCTATTTCCTTATGTCTGTTATTGTGTTGTTGCGTATTTCGTCTGCTCTTCATGATTTCACGAATAATGAAGACTTTTAATATCACTTGGACAAAAACAGTCAATTCCAAGGCGGCAATTTGGCCGATATAAACTTTCAGCAACATCGAAAAATTATCAGTATAAAGGTAGGCAATGTTACTGAGGCCAAACGGCATTGCCAAAAACCAAGTCACCATGCACAACATCGCAGTTTTCTTGCCTGTCAGCACGAGACGACCTTTAATGGGATATTTTGCTACCACGTATGTTTCCGCTGTTAACAGTGTCAAAAGGATAAATGATGCACTCACACCAAAAATCAAAACGAAACGGACGATTCTTAATGTTATGGGATCATCAATTACATGAAACTCAAAAATCAAACCAACATCCAAAATATTTGCCACACATACAACAAAATCAGCAAATGCCAAATTAAGAATGGTTATCCAGGCTCCCTTGCGAAGTACTTTCAAAGGATCAACAATGATCGCAATAATTAGTAGTATATTCAAGAGAGCGCCAATTGCACCAACCGTCATCGTCGAGATTCTCGTAAGTCGACTGTCATCGCTTCGGAATCTTGGAGCCTGCGTTGGAATTAAAAGAATCATGGCAAAAATCCACTATTAAACGTGATCTCATGCAATTTTCTTAAAACAGCAAGCATGAAATTTAATATATATGAACAGAGGGTGACTGTGCTATAACGGCCTATATGGCAAAAAGAGGTGGATCCTTATACGGCTTCCAAAGTCAACAATCCATTCAGTCGCTGGCGCTTTCATGGTTACGTTTAACATGGGAAGATTAGATTATTCAGGTTTTTGCGATGTGTATATTATTTAACAAGTATATGCCTCAGGCTCAGTGATTATCGGGGAATATTCTCCTATAATCACTGAGCCTGAGGCGAATGTATTTTTAATTTTTTTCCAAATAATCACCTATGAAATTATACTAAAACTTTTCCAAATGATCACCTATGAAATTAATCGTCTCGGTTTTTATTCACCGATAATCACCTCGCTAATTCGGTGAATAATTGTTAATTATAACTGTGGATATGTTGTCTCGGTTGTAACTCAACATTTTCAATTAAGATTTATTAAAATCAGATTTTGCCTGAAGTCTGTTGGTCGTATTACTTTAGCTTTCTTTAACTAGAAATTTTAGTTCGCTAACGAGTTTACCCATGCTTGTGTGAATGGCAAAAAAAACCCTGAAACAATGTGCATGCGTTTTACACTAAATCTTAATTTAACAGCCTTCTACTGTGTCAAAGTTTGATGGCAACATGCACAAATACAATTTTTATGTAAATGTGATCTTGACGCGAATGGAATGTATCAAAAAGTGTTTACTCTTCAATTCCCATCGAAGGTCTTCACAGCTAAATATATTGTTCTGAAATCTCAAGCTTTATTACTCAGAAAATATACTTTTGAGTTCCCGAGCGGGGATCGAACCCGCGACCTCCGACTCACAAGTATTTTCTACAAGAGCAGGGCCGTAGGAAGCTCCTTTCGATGGGGGGGTTGAAAGCGAGGGCCGAAGGTCCGAGGAAATTTTTAAATTTAGAGTCTCTGAAATGCCATTTCCTGGACTTTGGGGAAGATTTGACAGAATTCTGATGGTCAGAAAACAGCGTTTTAGTATGTTGAAATTTACAATTTAGAGTACTAAATGGGCGAAGGCGTATTTAATTAACTATATATTGGATAAGTTGCAGGAAAGTATGGGTAATATCTTCATTCTTTGCAGTTTGTCATGGATTAAATGATAAAGGTCTGCATGATTTTGAAAAAAAAATAGATCATTAGCACATTATTGGGGGCTGGTATATATACTGCATGGAGGGGCTTCATTATTATTATTGTTTTTACTTTAAAATAAAGTCGCAGCTCTGAGCTTCACGTTTAGTGTAAACTTTATTTTGACACAAACGATAGATTGACCCCAATTATCGAAGCATGGCGAAGCAGCAAAAACAATTATCGAGTCTTATGCTCTATATTTGATTGCCACTTTTCTTTGGCATCTTAATTTCTAAGCATGTATATATAAACACTGTTTGAACCTAGTCTAGCGCTAGCGAAATTTAATGTGGATTTTGTTGACACTATATGCATGCACAGCAGACTTTAACATTTATTTTCTTAAATGTGCACTAATTAAAACCCACACGCATTCATCGAACGAACAATACCATACAGTGCCATATAAAGCCTATATCAATGAACTATGTGAACTGCATGACTCACCATTGGCATTGAATTCGTAGCATTGGTTTTAGACGTGGAATTGTGAACTGCTGTCGGGTGCATCTTGCCTTCAGCTATCAAGTAGGCATATAAACTAACAATGGCTACGCCTAGAGGTAAGCGAAAAAGCTTATGCACGTATGGACCAATCCACATATTTCAACAATTACGCTTTACACAACCACATTTCTTTAATTCTGAGAGAGTGTTCTATAGGCTAGTACCAAGAATTTTTCGTTTGACCCTTGATATTTAATTGTGAAAAGTCATCGCATGTTGTATTAAATATTAGAGTATTAACTTGTTTGATCAACTTATTACGACAAAAATGTTAAAAATGCATTGAACCTCGATGAAGATCGTGTATTTCCATAGACTAAAGTGGGGTTTTATTTACGGTCCGCTATTATAGTGTTAAATTATTTTTTATATGACTTGTATTTATTTATAGTAATACTATTATTGTTGTATTGTATAAAATTTATAAGTCATATACGTGTTAAATAGAATGCTAATATATGCTGTTTTTATACTGCCATTAATTGAAGTGAGCTGATACAATCTGATAATGTAGATAGTTGAGTTGTGAGAACATGAACATTCAAAACTATAGTTTCGAATATATGTTTCGTTTGTTATATAGATTTAATATTTTATTGTTTAAAAAGGGCATGAACACCAAACGTGATTGGCTGATTTGTGGTCACGTGGCTTTAGATAAATGCAATGTTATCCCGCCGGGCAACAAGTGAAAAATTCTCGGCCTAACTAGACTTCCCTTTTTTTGTGACCACAAAAGAGAGGTCTATTTACCACACGCATGCAGGTTGGCGGCATACCCAGAGGCGTAGCCATGATTTTTGGTCAGGGGGCCCAGCAAAAACCCAGCTGGGGCCAATGAAAAAATGTTCCGGACAACATTTTAAATCTCCTTCCCCCCCTCCGCGTCGACAACTTTTTTGATTAAAAAATTTTCCGGACAATAACATTACAATTCCTTTCGTAGCACTTTTCCCGATTTCCGTACCACCTTTTCCGATACTTCACCACGAAGATTCCGAGTTTCCGACAACACTGACAATTTTCCGACGCGTCTCAACAATAGAGGGGAGGGGGGGAGCATGACCCCCCGCCCACGGCGCCACTGTACATGTGATTTTTCACCGAGCCCGCGTTAAAAATTCACTGGTAAAAAAACCCAGATTGGTTTAAACTTCATCTAACCCTCATTTAATACACATTGAAATAATTAGGGTTAGAAAAGGTATGTGTTTCAAGCTGTGTGCCACAAATAAGCGAACAAGATTTTAGGTTTCACACTGATGCGCAGCAAAGCATATATTCTACAGAATTTTTGCATTATTGACAGCATGAAGCTATATAATCAAAGATTCCCTTTTTTATACAATACATTTTATCAGGGCCCCCCCCAAAATTTTGCCTGGGCCCCCGGCCCCAGCCTACGTCTCTAGGCATACCTATTCTTTCCCCGGGTATACACGAGAATAAATTATAAACAGCATGCCCAGTCCATTTACCGAATACTATCTTTATAAATATAAACAAAAATGCACAATATTAACACACTACAACCACACATCTACAAATAGAATACTCTTACCAAGATTTCTCTCGTTGTTTTGCAAACTCATACAATTGAACACAATTTACGGCAGGAGATATGGTTGGAATTACACAAAATTAAAAAGGAACTTTAATTTGAACCTTTTCGCTGTACTATAGTATTGGGATACCTTGATGTAACTGTAACACGTGGTGTAACTCAAATAGTATTATTTTTGGGCTAACCAGGAAATTTTATCAAGAGTGTTTAGTTGAGAGTTTAAGCGACCAGCACAATAATTTTTTACTGCATGGATCGAACATATCGAAATGGTAATTTTTTCCGTGAATTTATAAATGAATTATGGCAAAGTTTTGTCTTTACTCAAAACAGAAACACAAGACTATATCGTATTAGATGTTTCGCAAGATAAACGAGAGAAAACCGGGAAGTTATACGATTATTTGCATGATAAACGACGAGAGAAAACCAGAAAGTTTTCTCTATTCTGATATTTCTTTTAATTTCTGATAAGTTTACCCACACGTTCGTGTTGTACTAGCTGCTGCATATATGGATTCTCCCCACCAATGTCAATGAACAACCAGATCAACAAGTTCACCAAATATTAAATAAAGAGTTTTGTCTTTATTCAAAACGGAAACACAAGTCTATATTAGGCCAAAAAAATATGTGGGTTTCCTATTTCTTCTTGTAAAAACTTAGGTAGGGTAGGTCGGTTTTTTAATTTTCCTAACAACCGGACGCCATGTTTGTTCAGTCAGAGCTTCCACGTCCAAAGATAAATTTCCCTAATATTGCCTCAAATTTCCATTTTCCACAAACGTTTTCCTCTAAGTGGAAACACATACAAGCATAATCCAACAAAAAGTTTAGGGTCGGGATTTCGACTTGTTAATAAAATTTTAATTTGCCTCTGTGAGAGTTAGAGTGTAGTTTGATTCCTGTATTTTGCCTCAAACATCCCCCCCCCTTACCCCAACACAATGTTGTCGAGTTACGTTTAAAATGAGAGGAAAATTATGGCAACATTGGGTGGGGGGGAGGAACCTAATGTAGTTATATGATTGTATTTCTCTAAAATTTCGATCGATTTTATTAACATGCACTTTTGTCCATGATTGTAGGTAGGTAGGGTCGGGAAACCAGAAACCCACATATTTTTTTTTGGCCTGAAATGTTTGGCGAGATAAATAACGAGAGAAAACCAGGAAATTAGGTCAATGTTTTCTCCATTCTGATATTTCTTTTAATTTCTGTTAAGTTTATCCACACGTTCGTGTTGTACTAGCTGCTGCATATATGGATTCAGTTGAGCTTGAATACTCTCCCCACAATGAACGACCAGATCAACAAGTTCACCAGATATTAAAGATTTATTTGCATTACAATCTGCACTATTGCTACAAAGTTGTCCATCTGAAGGAATTTCATCGTTACCATGGGAACTTCCGATATCCGGTTCAAAGTCATCAAAATCAAACTCGTCTGAACTTGAAAGTTGTTCATTAGATTTGTTAATATTTGATACACTCCAATGCGAAGGCAAAATATCTGCCGTGGATGCGTTGTCACTTTGCGCACTGGCACATGAAGGCAAAATATCTGCTGTACATGTCTTCTCACTGGACATATTCGCACTTGAGGACAAAGTAGGCCTACCTGCTGCAGATGCGTTGTCATTTTTTACACTCGCATGTGAAGGCAAGATATCTGCCGTGGATGCGTAGTCACTTTGTGCACTGGCATATGAAGGCAAAATATCTGCTGTAAATGTCTTCTCACTGGACACATTCGCACTTGAAGACGAAGTATCAGCTACAGATGCGTTGTCATTTTTTACACTCGCATGTGAAGGCAAAACATCTGTTGTAAATGTCTTCTCGCTAGACACACTCGCACTTGAAGACGAAGTATCAGCTACAGATACATTTTTTACACTTGTATGTGAAGGCAAAACGTTCTTTCTGGATAATTTATGCTGAGTTGCAGTTGATGCTCCAGATTTCGAAAGGTGCTCTAAATATCAAATCAAATGTATTATTGTGTTTTTCAAAAACTGTCCGTTATGGTCGTGTAACTACAGAAAAGGCCGTTTGCCAGTACGAATGTAGTGCAGGAACTAATTTCCGCAGAAGCTAACATATGTACTCTTAATTGTTTTAAAACATCATGGTTATAATTTTCCTGGCTAACATGGAAATAACCCGGCTATTTGGGTTAATAATATTCCTGGTTATTTTCTCTTACTTCCTACAATAGTCTGGTTAATGGAAGCAGGAATCTGGGTTATATTCGACCAGGACATCCAGGGTGATTGTTGATGGATAAATAAGCGTGGGTCTTGGTTATTTCACTGTATAATATTCAAGTTAATCATTTGAAAGACTGGGTAATACCACCAGAAAATTTGTACCATTCTTCGAGGAATACACCACGTGATTAGAGAGGTCCAGATATGACTTCCACTAGCTACCATTAAATTTGAAATGCGACATATTTACACGCTTCTATACGAGTACATTCGCCAAGCGAAGAATCGTGTATGGCATATTTGCATGATAAAATTATCAAAATGTCAGATTAGGAAAGACTAGGTACATTTTACTTTTTAATTAATATTTGTGCGATTTTCAAGCACTTTTCAAGGGTCTTTTCAGATTTTGTATTTTCAGGGGCTTTTCAAGTGCCCTTGAAATTGATTTTTCAATTTAAAATTAAGCACTTCTCAAGAAGTTCAAGGACCTGTGCCAACTCTGATAAAGAAGTTATATCATCGAGATGCGATACAGTACTAAGTCTCATGCAGGCGGTCAATAACGACCGCTTTACCTGTTTCACGGGTATCATTCTTCACAAAAATCTGGGAAAGATGTTTCGCTGAGCTGACGTCATAAAGAACACCTCGTTGTCTTGCGTCATCGATACATGCCCTCCAATCAACGTTTGTCTATAAATCAATGAGGCAAAATGATAAAGAAGATATTATTAAAATTTCTTCGTGGAATGTGCACATGTATGACGTACACGATTGGAATAGATAGGATGCTTGCGAGAGATGTAAAATTAAATAGTTAAATAGTATTTGTGATGGCTGTGGCACGCTGGTTGATAACTTTCCAAATTTGTCTCTCATTTGATAGTTTAATGTTGAATGGCTTTTAAAGTTAGAAATTTTGTTAGAAAACTTTACATATTCTATACCTACCTGCAGCTGCAAATGTAAACTATAGGTCTTCTAGCAGAAGATGAACCGGCACTCTTGCTATTCCAGTGCGTCACTTTGACCACTGAGCTGAGCTACAGAGTTCAGTTGTCAATGCATGTTTATAATATATGGTTGCGGTTGTCCAGCACCCCCTTGAAGAAAACCCTGGTACACGTTTAAGTTTAGATTTCCCGCTTTTTGAGTTGCGAATACCACTTATTATATTGAAACGATAAATTTTCGAGTATGCGAGAAAATATTCAAGCACCAATACGGCGTGTCGGTGTAACCCTATATATATACAGTATAACGTAGCAGTTGGTGTAGACCGTGTTATACAGGGTGTATAAAAAAAAACGCAACCTCGGAATTTCCTAAGAAATCACTTTGCAAATCTTAAGCATAAAAGATTTTACGCCCCTGGGAATTGAAATCGAATTGCTAATAGATCATATTACTGTTGTTGTGCATTAAATAAATTCATAAATTTTGCTTTATGCACTCGCGCGTGCAGTAATTTTGACAGTTATGCTATTTTAAATTCCCAGGCGCCTAAAATCTTTTGTCTTTAAAACAATGTCGATTTCTTGGGAAATTCCGAGGTTGCGCTTTTTTTGATACACCCTGTACATTAAACGCATTAATTTTAGCGAGGATCAATCAGTATATACCGCGTATATATACTCGATATACATAACGAATCATAGTCGTTTCATCACGAATTATAACAGTTATACATCGCGAATTATTGGCGTTATGCATTGCATATATGATCACTATCATAGATACTTCATGCGTGTTAGGAATATACTCCTCGTATGCGCATCGGATGTGTGCTCATGTCGCAAAAGCTGATATTCTGCTGTTTCAAGATTACTTCAACAAAATAATTTTTCCTTCTCACCGCTGGGTTAAGACGATCATCCGGGGTAGAACATTATATTTACTTTCTTAATTTTTGCTTGAAACACAAGTACCGTAAGGACAAATTTAACGAATAAATGTAGTATTCAGGTCTTCAAATTTCCAAAGTTTCCGGGAGAGAATGGCCACGGACCACCACGGTAACGCACCCCCTCTGCTAAACCTCTATCCCCTCTAACAATGAGGCCAGCTCCTCCTCTGATGCGAGTGCAAAGGAATGGATTTACGACTTGCATGACAATGGCGAATTAATCTATCTTCAAAATAGATTTAAGGGTATAACACCATTGCAAAACTGCTTTTTGCCGTCTATTCTCGTTTGGGATTTGGTGCACACGTGAGTTATTATTATTGTTGTTATTATTATTATTATTATTATTATTAAAACTTGCACAAAATGTACTCTTTCTACATGTAATACAATTACAATGTCAATTACAGCTAATACTCACAATACTAAAGAAAAATAGGAGAAAATCAGGATTGTCTAATTATGTTTTTGAAACTTAGAACGGATTTATATAGCATTTACACAGAAAAAACTTCAAAGACTTTCAAAGATTTCAAAGATGCCTATTTTCAAAGACTTTTCAAAGACCTTTAAGAGCAATCAGCTGTCGAAAAATTGCGAGTGTAAGCTTCAATTTTTATCCGGTAATTAGTCCCCGCGTCAAATCACATCCTAAAATGCACCTTTTCGTCGATATTTGCGAATCAAAATCTTGCTTCAATCAATCTATTGTATTAGCTAGGAAATCGTATAATCAAATACTCAATAAATAATTTAAAGACTTTTAAAAACTTTCTTCGCTTTTTCACACAATTCAAAGACTTTTGAAAGACCTTGAAAACCTGCATTCAAATTTAAAGACTTTCAAGGATTTCAAAGACCGCTACGAACCCTGCTGTAAGCTTCGTCAGGTATAGCTATTCCACAGGAGGGTTCCTCTATACATCTCGAACTCATTAATAATTCATGAGCAAATTAGCGAATGAACTCACCCTAATGGACCTTTCACCTTTTGACTAAAATTTAGATTTCAACAAGTTTAGACAAAAATTTTACCACAGCTTGAAAGAGCATCACAAAATTAGTAATATTCCAAAGTTTCGTTGCGAAATGTTGTAAAATGCGGATAATATAGCCTTGCGAAGTTTACAATTTTCAGTCATTTTGTATTACAAACGGGAAATACATACCCTTTTTCCGAAGGAGGTATGTATTTCCCGCGCGTAATACAAAATGACTGAAAATGGCAAACTTCGCAAGGCTATATTATCCGCATTTTACAACATTTCGCAATGAAATTTTGGAATATTACTAATTTTGTCATGCTCTTTCAAGATGTGGTAAAATTTTTGTCTAGACTTGTTGAAATCTAAATTTTAGTCAAAAGGTGAAAGGTCCATTCGTCACATGATTGAGGTTGGATACCGCAAGGAAACACGCTAAAAATCATATACCATCACTGTTGTTAGATGAAAAACGGTTTTCATCTAATAACTGAGATCCTAATTACAAATTCAAGTCAAAACACAACAATATACTATAATAA